GAGCTGGGCTGTCACCGCTTGGCCGCCGGTGGGGGGTTTGGGAGGCCGCATCGCACACAAACACCCACACACTCCCTCAACTTCCACGAACGCACACATACGCAGACTCGTTTCCACACGGACATAGACACACGCACAGAAACCCACACACTACCTCAACTCACTCGACTTAACACTTCTCACTACACACTTACCGGATAACTCGCACTCTGATTTCCTACGTGATGAAAAATGCTTTCGGGCCACTCGTCGTCTAGTTGTTCCTAGTAGTAATGCCAGGAGCTCCTAGTAGCTTCTTGCTACTAGTAGCGATGCCCTTTGTTACTAGTAGCTTCTTGTTACTAGATGCCAAAAAGTCAAACCGATTGTTGGGAGTGAAACCTCGTGTTGTGACCTTTCAGCCAGACTCTCGACTCTCGACAAGCCAGTGACCTTTCATCCAGTCCTTGGCAAGTCAAGGCGCTCCACTATAAGCCGATCAGTTTTTTTTGTTGTATTCCATGTCACAGGACCCGCAAGCCATGCCCGACCCGCCACGATGGACGGGCACGATCGATGCTCCGACTGGGTCGTGACCCACCTGGACCCCGACCAATCCACCATGCAGCGAACGACCTTCGCATGTAGGTCAAGGTGTGCCATGACCCACAGCCATATTAGAAACAAGTGCATCGCTACTAGGAGCAAGAAGCTATTAGTAACAAGTGCATCGCTACTAGTAACAGGTGCCTTACTAGTAGTAACAAGAAGCTATTAGAAACAAGTGCATATGATAGGACTTCAACGGCCCGGTCACTCCTTTGATCCCTCAGGACTTCCGCTTGGGCATGGGCGAGGTCATCCAAGGCTGGGATGAAGGAGTGCCCCTTGGTCGTCCAGCCGTGGGTATTGATGGGTGAAGTGAATTTGTTGGGAGCTGGGGTCATTTGGGAAAACCAGAAGTGTTTAGGGTGGTTTGGGGTAGTCTAGGCTTCTACTTATGATTGGGGCGTCAAAAAGGAAGTCCTGGTCGTAGTTGTTTCGCAAACCCGCTTGACTAATTAACAATTTTGGTGTGGAGCTTGTGTTTGGAAGAGTTGGACATGTTTGCAGATTGCAACATGTTTGCGGTCTATACACTGGCTGGACAAAAGTTGTGAATATTGATTGATGTTGAAACGCATTAATAAAACCCTTTCCCTTTTCCATAGAATCCCGCGCGCTGGGAGCTGGGGTGTGTGCAGTCAATTTCACACCGGGGCGTAAAAAGAGGACAACGACAACTCTATGAACACATGCATGCTGCATAAACTGTTGTTTGAAGCAAAACAGTATGATGACAGCATGTTCCGAACCTTTAACCTTTATTATTCCTTCATTTAGGCATCATGACGTTGTCTGAACTGGTTGGTGTTTCTTCCCCACAATGGCCAAAGGATATATAACCATCACTGCAACATATATTATAGCCCGCATTTTGCAGGGCTTCCACTTAGCTATACCATGCACATCCACGCACCCTGAATTTGGAAAAGACATGTGGCCCCCTCTCCACGTCGTTCATTTGATGATGCTCGACGTTCGTTGATTTGTGTCAAAACCACCATCGGCCCACGGACGCTCATTTCCAACACGACTTGAGGAAAGGCATGCTGCGGGGCGAGAAGCGCAGATTGTTCTTTGCTTGCATCTAGTGCATTACCGAGTCATACTTCACCAGCTCTTCATCACAGTGCTAGGCTTACGCTGTTTTGATCAAACGGTTTTTTCCCGTTGAGTCCCAGCAGCCTCTCTCTCGCCTCTTGTTGGCCAAGGCTGGTCCCCGCCAAGCTGGGCTATGGTCGCAGCGGCGCTCCCCCGGCCATTCCTCCCAATGCCAATTTGGTCTTTGAGGTGGAGCTCCTCAGCTGAGGAGTGAACCTGGACGGGGTCCTCCCGCCACCACAGCGACGCGACGGACTCTGATGCAAGGAAAAAAGAAGAACGGACCAGAGGTGTTCGAACAATGTGAATAGCTTCAAGTCGATACCAGGACCTTGCACCAGGATACCTCCATCCAGAGGTCATGCGATGACTTTGGACCCAGAGGGTCTGGCTGTCAGCACGGTGTCCCAGTAGTACCCCGCATCGCCATGCGGTATGTGATTTGCGATTGCAGTCATTCGCTTGGCCATCAGCCGGGATGCCCAACGTGGCAGGACTTCAGCCCAGCACAATACAAAAAGGTGTTTTGCGATGGGCTGCTGATTGAAATTCTATAATATATATATACTTGATTATATATACTTGCATATATTATATATATGATAGATTTGCCACTTTGGTGTGGTGACCGTTGGCTGCTGCAGACGACACCTGTTGTCGGGTCTGGGCACAGCATATATATATATTAGTTATGGTCAACCACTTGTACAGTCATCAATTCTGGCGAGTCCAGCAGTCTTCGGGACCCACAAGGGGACCAATCAACAATATAGTAAACATGTTAAAAAAAGAACACACAATGAATCAACACCAACCGATGCGATATTATGTTTGCAAACCAACGCAACACATTCACATTGTTTGCATTGGTTTTTCTTTGTTCCAATGACCTCCGACCTGACGTCACGTCGGCGACGCACCGGCAGTCGAAACCCGCCCGGGGGGTGAGACCAACGGGGCATGGCTGCGAGCCCATCCTCATGCGATCGATGACACGAAAAAAAACGGAGAGAACCATGACTCTATTTGGATTATTAAAAGAAGTACTAACCCATTTTTCAGGAGATTTGGTGTGAGTCTGCATCCAATTATATACACGATTCCAAGGTGACCCACATCGATCTTTGCTGAGAAAAGTCATCAGGCACATGAAGGACTCCTTGGTGTTTGGTTTGAGACCCGGTTTGGTTTTGTGTGTGTGTTTTTTTTGATGATTGTGCTCGATATTGAGCAAACGTCTCTGTAAATAAGGAGGACAAAAATAACAAATAAACAACTAAGTACAGTTGCCTCGAATCAGTTTTGTTCGCCTAGAGGTCCCAGAAGCTTGAACATCGGGAACAAGCAAGGTGCTGTTTGTATTTGTTTGTCATAGTCATAGTCTTGTCATGTACAAGAAAACCACACAGAAGCGGAACGATACCTAATCGAATGAAATACACTGGGATGAACATGGGCCTTGACACACCATATCAACTTCTAGTGGTAACTCGGCAGCATCAACATCACCCCAGCCCCCACCTGAACGCCATCATAGTTAAATTGATATATTTGCATGATTCTAATCACTGTTCAATCTTTTTCAGGTATTGTTCTTGGACAAACTGCAAAATGCATCCTTGGGGATTGCAATGCATTTGGGGTTGGAATCGGTTTGGAATATCCCTGCTCGAATTCTTTGACAGGGGAATCACTCGGCGCTGGTCACTGGTAGCGTCAGCTCGTGACTTGCGGATGCGGGTGCGTGGTCGAATTGCACGTGGATTTGTACATGTGTTTTTGTGGGGTTCGTGCTGGGGAACAACCCCCTGCTGCTTGCTGATGACTCTGCCGTGGAATTTGTACCAATAAAAATCAACTGTACAACGTGGAATCATCAATCACCAAATTGTAGAGGAAAATTGTCATCCAAGGGGCCATGCCATCCACTTCCATGATGACTCCAGCGAGTGTAGTCAGTGTTGAATTGACCAAGTAGGGCTTGAGTTTGTGAATGGCCCATTCCACTGGCCATGCCACCTAAGTTAGGGATAGACAGTACATGTTTGTTTTGTTTTATTGATTTAGTATATGCAAATATGTAGTCAAACTGACCTTTTGTGGGTAAATATGTTAATTCCTTTCATGATATTCAGGTTGTCAAGAATCTCACAGATTCTTGTCTTTGTGCCTGCTCAGGCATCGTCGTTTGTGCGTGATTGCGCAAGTGTTGTTTCACAGCTGTACAGCAACCGTATAGATTTGGGCAAATGATGACGGCATTACTTTTGTGTATTCTGCTCAAATGATGGGTCTTGTCAGTGTATGTTTGAACTGTAGAGGGAATATGCTACTTTTGCCCAGATATATGTCGAGGTGGATAGGACCTTAGGACTCGGGCAGTGGTCATACCTTTCTTGCAGCAGATCGTACCTTTTTCTTTGCTGCTATGAGTTTTCCGACCGCGACGCTTCTGTTTGTTGGGCCTCCAAGCCCATGCTGATGTGGCAGAAGATTCTGCGATGTTGACGTTGTTCATTCAAGTCATGTGCAAAGTATGAACATGGGCGCAATCTCTGCAAACTCACATGGTAGGTTGCCAAAACTCCCATGTTTGTTCGACACCATTTAGGCCAGTCAGAAGCAATCATCGCTAATAACAACATGTACAAAAGAATGCTTTTCTTGAAACTGGCTGTGGTTTTGTCAGAGCCTTCCGCAGCTAATGGCCTTCCAATGGCTCCTTCAATCAGAACCCTCGCAACTGCGACTGCCAAAATCAAGAACACAGATCCACCCGCCCGGTCCCCGCCAAGAATGAGCGAGCTCGGACCGACCGCTGAGCGAAAAGACGACCCACCGCCTGATGAGGACGTCGATGGGTCTGAAGAGCGATCTTAAAGAATCAAATACCCCCACCTTTTTGCGAACGATTGAGGGTTTGCATAGAAAGAGTGCTATAGTCAGAAGTAGTAGTAGTAGTAGTAGTAGTAGTAGTAGGAGTAGGAGTAGCAGTAGCAGTAGCAGTAGTAGTAGTTGTAGTAGTATTAGTAGTTGTTGTAGTAGTAGCAGTAGTAGCAGTTGCAGTTGCAGTTGCAGCAGTAGCAGCAGTAGTAGCAGTAGCAGTAGCAGTAGTAGCAGTAGCAGCTGTGGTGGATTACTGTAATTAACGTACTAAATCAAATCAAATCAATAGGAAACGTTGAATTTTTCCGTCCTCCTTGATTGTTGAGGATACAACATTAATGCGTCAGTCAAAGTACCAGGAGGTTAGACCATCAAGCGCGCAGAAAGGTTTGTCCGAGGGAGTTCACCAACGGCTCAACCCCGCAACGCCAGTCGGCGCCGATACAGGGTCCAACTTTCGCTCGGTCTCCGAAAAAGCTCCTAGTAGCGGTCATTGCTCCTAGTAGCGATGCCCTTTGCTCCTAGTAGCGTCCTAGGAGCGAATGCGCCGAAGCGGCGCGATTTCGCCGAAGCGGCGTCCATTGCAGGCTTGATCGTTCGGGACGCACGGTGTGCGCGGAAGGGCTCACTGCGAAAGCAGCACGCAAGCCTAGGTGTGATTTAAAGGGCTCCGGACTGCAGTGGGAAACAAACAGTGGCCGGGGGCTGATTTGCTGAAAAGATCGTGATTCTTGGGTGGAAAGGATTTGCAATCATTGTTGAGCGGGACTTGTCTTGGAAACCGTTGGCTGGTAGCAACAGCGGAGAAATGTATCCGCAAATAAGACCCAGGAACTCGCAGGTTAGGATGTGATAGGATGTGATGTCTTCATAGTTTTCCAGTGAAAGAAACAGTGGGTTTCGGGGTTCGCAGCCGGTGCGCAGGCGTGTTGAGCAACAATTAAATTAGGTGGCTTGTATGAAGGGCAAATTTTAATCCTCACATCGCGTCCTTCGATCAGTCCTCGCATGTACAGCTCTCTTGCGCTTCTCCTGCTTTGCAATGTTCTCAAATGAAAAATTGCTTCCGGATTCCGTCGCAGACTTTGCACACCCAACCACCACAAGTATGCGCTGTTGATTGCAGTTGATGTGTTCGTTCAACATTCAGCCACCAGTGATTCCAAAGGAATGCCTAATTGAGGATAGGGTTGCCACTGGCCACCCTTAGAACTTAAGTTCCACTCTTTTGGAACTCCTGGACAATGTGTTTTCTTCGCTGACTTAGACTTGATTTAAGTTAGGGGCACCCTGTGTGGGATTCGCACCAGAGGCTTTGCCCAATCGGGACGAAGAAGTGTGGAGGTGAGAAATCAGAACTTCCTTGCCACAACGGCCCACCTAACACCTTGACGCCTTAGTCACAGCCCAACTTAATGAGCTATGTTGCTTGCAAGAGAATCTTCACTGCAATGCTTCCCGATGTCAGGTTTTAGAAAAAACCTCTAAGCTTGTTGAAGAGCTATCTCCTACCTAGCAGGGTCATTGTCCAGTAGGCCCAGAAACTGTCTTGCTCTCCAGTTGGAATCGTTTGTTTTTCTTGAAGACAGCGTTCCTCGTGTAGGAATTGGTTGTTTTTATTTCATCATTCAGCGTGTATACATGGCCTGCATAACATAATATATATATATACTAACTATATGCAATCCCTCGTGATGAAGAGATGTTCGCAATGTCTAGGCCCATCAGGGTCAAGCATCGTGATTGAATGTTTTGGCATGGAAATGGACTCCTCTCTGTTGGAGAAGTTCAATCATCTAACAGTCCAAGCCGAGCCTCAACACAAAGTCTTTGCAGCACCGAAACACCAGAACACTTGAGTGTCTTACAACCCAGCTCCATACAACTTAGTCATCTTTGCTATACCCTTTTGCTTTGGCATCCCAGCTAGGCAATTAGGCCCTGAGATATAGGGAAAGTAGTTGAGTTGCCCGTTAGACTCGCTTCACTTCTGATGAGTGTATATATAGTATGTATAAATTAATACAATATATAAAATATACGATATATATATATAGTTTTAAGATATTTTAAGAACCACTGAACCAGTCCGAAGATTGTACTTGAGCATTGCCACGATTGTTGTGTAAAACACAAGGTCCTGCCTCCATCCGGACATGGGAACTGTTGCTTGACATAAAGGCTAAAGTCCATGACATCTACTTGAGGCCTTCCCTTGGTCCAAACAACTGTGCCAAACCGGCCGCAGCTGAAACCGGGCCATGCCGGACGGGAAGCGCGTGACCTTGTTGGATCCGTTGCTGACACCTTCGCAGCGAGTTCCTGGATCGCCATCACGTGTGGAGGCCGGCGGATCGGGGATGTGGATCGGGCGGGCTCGATTTGGATAGGAGTACAGAAATGGTGTTCATTTCTAGACACTCCATATGACTGGCATATGCACATACATTGGTGTGTTTGAAAAGGGGTCAATGTAGGTGTATAAATATATATATATATATATTGGTGTGTTTGGGATTGATGCTTCATTTCACCATTCTTTTGGTTTGGGGATGCATCGGAGAGCATTCAGAAACCATTACTGTATTGTCCGCTGAATCATCCTTGCGTGCAGTGGGGTTCACCTCATGATCTTTTTGAGCACGAAGACATTATAAATGGTTTCAGCAAGAAGAACATAACAACTTCAACATACTTCAACTATCCAACTAGAGCTACCAACACTCAGCATCCCCCGCACTTCTACCATCCTACGCCTCGCCTGAAACGAGGCGAGCCGGGCCTTTCCTCGGACCGTTCGGGGCCGGGCTCCGCCGAAGCCCGTGCCGGGGCGCTTGCGGGTGCGCTGCTTGGGCGCACGGGACTTGCGACCCTTCCAGGCAGACGGTCTCGACACGCGCAGAAGACACCGTGAGGTAGGAATGGAACGTCTAAGTGAACGGAACGTTTAAGCCAGGGTGGATGTTCACTTGGAGTTTTGAAGAGTTGAATTCACGTGAAAGAAATCCTGGTGTGGTTTTAAGAACCTTTGAGATCAACTGACAGAGATCCATCACTGCTATCTATAGCTTGCAGCCAGAACGGCCCTTCAGCCAGTGGGTCGATGGTATAGTCGTACGAGTCGGTATCGTTGATACTAAATAGGTCGATGGGTGTTTGTCGGGTTTGCGAGCTAGTGGGTCTGTCTTCAATGGAGGAAACCATCGGAAAGGTCAAAGACCTCAAAGACCTGATCGCTTGGGGAGTGTAGTATACTGTCAGACATGCCATATCCATCCATATCCATATATATATATATTTTTACATATCCATGATCGATATGATACCCAGACACTTGAGGTATTGTATATATATTTAGACGCATTGACCTCTTAAGCTACCCCAATGTTCACAAGTATGCCATACACATCGAGAGTTGAGTGCTTGGCATGAGTTCACTCGTTTCACGTTCGGAGTGCCATTTGAGCTCCTTGCTGCTATGCAGGTGCAGATCTTCTCACAAGGTGCTGTGCACTCGGATCCTTACGCCACTGGGACGGGCGACCGGGGGACCGGCGACAGCCTCGGATCGATCCACGAAGAAGTCGGTGCCTAACGAGCCTCGTTCCTTGGGTCAATGTCCTACTGATTGATTGTGGGTGCTGAAGGTGGCCCATTTTAGCAAGGTCTGATTGGATTAAGTCTAAGCTGGGTGAAGCAAAAGATCGAGCTTTGTTTGGAGATGTGTCGACAAGAATATGTGTGTATATATATATATATCATTGATATAACTTAGTACTATTTTGTTACTATACATATAGACATACATAAATAGTTGATGTTCCGTTTGCTGGGTATAGTTGCTGTGTTTCTTTGGAGGCTTAAAGTTCACCAAACGATCACAGATAGCCCCATATCAAAAACCTCATAACTGCTAGACTCTGGATAGGCTGGGAACCGATGGTTGGTTGCGGCAACCTCGCCCCTTGTAGCGATGTGTAGCAAGATTACCTTCTGCCTTGAAAGCACAATCCCTGTTGGTCAATTGCCTGCCGAGCCTCCATTTGTGCTTCCACCCATGAATCCATATCCATATCCATATCCACATCCACATCCATATCCATATCCACATCCATCCATCCATCCATCCATCCATCCATCCATCCATCCATCCATCCATCCATCATATGATTGAACGGAAACAATAGGGGTATCCTTACCGTACTACCGTACCGGACTAATTTATGTGTTCTATTTTTCCAGGATATTCTGCTGACCCGCACATGGTCCAATGTTCATGTTCATCGCAAAACCACTGCCTTGTGGCGCTTCCCTGGAGGACACTATGCTTGGACACGGATCCACACGACATTTCAAGAAGTAGTACATAAATATATTGTATATAACTATAGTTTATGTTATAGATTCATGAATGTATACATTTTCTAAATTAAAAACTGAACTACCTCTCGTGTTGAAGGCCCAGCCTAAATCCTCCAAGTTGACAACCAAAAAAAATGCAAGTTGATTCCAAATTTCATCTCGATGACTGTGTATCAGCTTTTCGCCCAAGGCCGTGCTGTGCCTCCGCCGCACCGAGCGTGCGGATGCCGGCGGCGGACACCGCATGGACGCGGGCGCCGCGTTTTGGACGCTCCGGCGCTGCACGCACCCCGTGCGGAAGACGCGACACCCCTGCTGGCGCGAGGAGCTGCTTGGACGTGTAGAGCTGGGGCGTGGTGGAGCCGAATGGGAAAGAGACAGAGAGTTTCAGAACGGAGCTTGGGAGCTTCCTCTCTCAAAATGAAAGAGTTTCTGAAGTTCAGCCGCCTATCAAAACTGTTGGCTGTTGGAACAGACATTTTTGTAGCACCCCGACGAGTGCAGTGGCCAGGAACCGCACCTCGCAGTGGTTCACAGATCAATCAATCTATACTGTACAACAGCCATCAGCCAACTCAGTTTATTTGACCCACTCATCGATATGAGTACTCAGAGTGGAAGGGTTCTCAAAAACACGTAGTGTTTGAAGTTCCAAGTTCCAAGGTTTGCTCAGGCTTCTTTTGTGATTGATTCATTTCTTGGCGGTGGGACCTCAGATTCTACAATCTACATGGACTCACGTGTAAATATCCAGTATATACGTAGTGGTTTGTTCAGGAATCCGTCACCTCAACACGCAGTCACACACACACACACGTCGCACCTGTTGGTGGCAGTTCGGCGCCAAACCGCGCTGCGTTCGCCCAGGTTTTGGTTTTCGCTTCCCACCTCTCCTGATCAGTCGGACTATGCTTTGGAAGTCACCATCTATGGGGTTCTGCAAGGAAGGAAACAAGATGAGTGGCGCCGGCTGCATGAGTTCCACACGGTGCCGGATGGATTCGGAAGAGGATGTTTGTGTTTTTTTGTTGTGTTTTTGTGTGTTTCTGCCGAGAACGGTGGTGGTATTCGTGGCTGCTTTTGCGATACTGCTAAGCTGCTATACTATTGAAAGTGCTGATGCGCTCGATGCAGCTGTGTGGCCTAGGAATTTGGGATTTGCCTTGCTGTGATTTTCCAGAAGACTATATAGTTATATACGCTATATATATATATATATACACGCATACCGGCTATATATACTATACCTGAGTGTAGCCGAAGGATCCAAACGATCTAAAGTAGGACAGATCACAAGATACACTGGAACAGCTCTCTTGCTGGAAGGTCCATTGCGCTTAAGTCATGGGCCGCACCAGCTGTGCATTTGCTCGAAAACAAACAGTGATCACACGAACAGACCATGGAAATCAGATTTCTTATGTTCCAATTGCCATGCTCTCAGTGGCGGGTTTGTGCACTTGAACTATGTGGAAATGGGACATACCTCGCTCTCAGAGGCCGCCCGAGGACCGAGAAAGCGCACCAAGGTTCCTGGGCTATGCCGAGTTGCCGATCCCACCGATGGATGCAGAGGAACGGAAAGTGGAGGAGCGCCAGCCCGCTTTCACAGGTTTGGTGGAGTATTTTGCAACCAGTTTCTGGGTTTGGCCACTGTCCGGAACTAGGGACTGGATCTTGTTGTTGCTGTTTTTGTTTTAAATATTTTGCTTCAAGAGGCCCTGGATGAGCCCAAAAGTTTGCCCCCCTCACACGCATTTCTCATATTGTCGTATCAATACTTGGACTAACACCATGAACACCGTTTCAAGCCCCCATGGCACCTGCCGTGGTGTTAACACCAGCACCTGCCGCGTCTTGTCGCCGCTCGGTTGGGCTTCCCAGGAGCTCCAGTTGGGTCCCTCGGGCTCCACCGGGTCCACAGAGTCGGAAGGCCAGGCCGTTTTTTTGTTTAACACATAGTTCATATATATATATACAGTATTATACAGTAAATGATATATATACCCTATAGGTCGACCGACATTTTTATCAGGGTGGTTGTGGGACAGCCATTCTTATGCGTGAACGGCCATTTTTCCAAGGATCTTCATGAGGCATTGTTGGTGAAGCAATCCAACAATGATCATTTCAGACTAATATTATCAAAGAATCCCAACCCAACCAACCCATTGTCAGTTCTTTGTGATCGTGCCTCCATCCACGCTTCGACTTTTCGCTGTGCCCCATGGATTATGAGAAGACCGAAGATCAGTGATTGAAGCTGGGGCTGCAATGTTTGATCGCTATATATGCTCTCTTGTAATCCATGGGGCTATGATTTCTCCCCTTGTTTGTTGAGGATCCTGAGGTTGATCCACGTCGCTATGCGAAAAGCTTTACGGAAGAGCAGTGCCCTGAGAAACATCTTACAATGTATGTGGTAGATATTCTTTGCTCGAGGGTTCCTGGGGATCCCCGCGCGCGTTCTTGAGGATTGCACGAGGACAATGAAGATCGAATCTTTGCTATGGCAGATGGAGGCACCAGCTGTCTCTTGCAAAGAGAGGACCCATGGGCCAAGTTTCAAGTTGATCTTTCCCTATATTGGCAAATGGTGAAACATTGTAATTATACCGTGTTTTCCCCTTCTATCAAATTTGACAATATAGGGCAAGATCTTGAGTGGTCATTGAATCACTATCAAGATCTCCTTACCCTTGGATTTTTTAACCTTCTTTCCTGGCCCGAAGTGAACCAGTGCGCCCACCACTGCTGGCTTTTTCCAGCTTGCGCTCATGGCTGGTGATCGAGTTGCGCACCTCAAGGCCGCGTGCAGTCCGAAATCACATTCAACTTTGTGCACGCACACATGGACCCACATGCATGCACATGATGCGTGTATAGGCCTTCTACTCCGACATCCTTGAAGATGATGGGTTCATCAAACAACGCCGGAAGATACTGAGGCAAAGGAAGGGTCTCAAGGATGGTGATGGAACAGCCCCCCCGACTATAATTCATATATATGCAGTGCATGCAATGGGCTACGCTATAAATACTTAACTCAAGCAAGTATACTCCACCAGATGAGGTACCGCCTTTTGCCTTCATGATCCGGTTCTCAAGAAAGGAGAACATTCAAGAAGTTGAGGCAGGGGGGGTTCTGGTATTGGACCATGTTTGTTTCGTGCTTCCCTTCATGTTGTGTTGACCAACCCTGAACCTGGGCAGCTGGAGCATGAAGAGAATGCATCCTTCGCCATCCAATTTCTGGCCAGTTTTGCTCATGCTCTCCCATCTGAAAAGGAATTCCTGGTATCTTGGACCCAAGATAGGAAAAAACTCATACATGCGCATGCGTGCATATTTTTTATATGATAGCAATGTTTTGCAGATCGTACCGTTTGTATATATCGATCCGTGTGCCTGCGTCAAATCAAGGAAGCCCTGGTTTGGGCAAGCGAACATTTCAATTTGAACAAGTTTGCAGACCATGCGGCCCATGTTGTGATTTGGCCCAAGATTGTGCACAAATAAGATTTTATCAACTCAGGTGACCAATCAAAACATTGCCGCGCAACCAACACTCTGGCTGAGGCTTGGGCTACAGTGGAATCTGGGGTGCAAAGGGCCTTTATGAGCTATGCTTTGACACGTTTCCAGAAGAATCCAAGTGCCAGGTGGGTTATCTGTGTTTTCAACCTATGAACCGGATTGAAAGTTTTGGTTTGATGTCAGATCTTCAAAGAGCTTCATGGCGCAAATCAAGGAAGTTGTCAAAAGGAAATTGGAGGCACATTGCATTTGTTGCTGTACAGGGTGCACATGTTTATCTTTCTCCCCTGGCCCTGTACTGCAGATGGAGGGACAGCTCACTGCTGACGGCAAGAAGCTGGCGACAAGGGGGAGATCAGTGTCGAAGGAGAAACTGGTTTGATCCAATTTGCAAATAATTTTTTGAAAGTTGCAAGCAGGAGTTTGATCTATCTAACAAGATCGAGAAACCGGATCCAAAAGCTTCAGGCCTGCGTTCAGACTTGTGTGTGAATTGTAATTGACAATCAGGTTTATTCCCTGTGGGAAATCCTGCGTCAGGCCATCCTGACAACGTGGAGACTTTGGAATTTGACGGTGGCTTGGCCCCGGAAGACATGGGAGAAGAGGAAAAGCCAGAGGAGATTGATGAGCTCGTGGAAGAGGATCCTGTAAACGAGCCGCAGCTGCTTCATGGTAGTCAGGTCGATCTGCTGAACGACTCCCAGGTTCCTGAAGAGTCTCAAGTCTTCTGTGAGGCTGAAGAGCAGGATGAAAAGAAGGAGGAAGAGCAGGATGAAAAGAAGGAGGAAGAGAAGGAGGAAAAGAAGGAGGAAGAGAAGGA